CCACCTGTTCAATATATGAAAATTGTTAATACGCAGAATTTCAAGTACAATCTCCTGATTATTTTAATTTCTTATCCATTCTTTTTTTATTTCTTTCATGCGAGCGCCATTTGTTGCTACAAATGTGCTTCGCGGTGTTGTTTAAATAGGGTGACATTTGTTCTTATGTCAGCCTAGTTTTTTCAATTGGGCGCCATTTGTTATGCCTTGCCTGTCGAAAGCACCAATATATCGCTCAGCCGGCTAGCTATCGGCTCAGGGGTAGTTCGACCGCGATATATTGGGCGGCAAGTTAACAAAAATTTGTATTCTTTTATAAATAAAAAAAACAAATATTTCCACCAAACCAGTCCGCTCGCTGCTGTGTGAATGTTGTACAGTCTGCGTGTCCCACCCTTCCTTGTGATTCCTCCTCTAAATTTCCAGGAGAAATTCCCTTTCATAATTATTTCTTTCTCGTTTGCTTCTTATGCCCTCATCTCTCCCAATCACATTGATTTACCACATCATGTTCCTTTTTTTAGACTATTTAATTTACAATTCATATGATACATGTAACATCGTGATCCCTAACCTCTTTGTTGGCCAACACTAAATTCGCTTATATATATTTAATACAATTTTATCTATCTACTTAATTTAAAGCTTACAAAACATTTATGTTTTTTTCTTTTCTATTATTTGGCTTTAAAAGTGCGCATCACTGATTGACAAAATGAGCATCACTATTGCCTTGGGTAGGGCCGATCAGTTGTCTTTGGCTCACTCTGCCGCAATTAGGCGGGAACAAACTCACTGATGTGTTGATACAATCAGAGTCGTCTCACGGTCTCCGGGCTTGGATTTCTTGGTTCCGGAGTCCAGTTGGCCGATTTCCTCCTTGATGGTGGCGATGCCGCCGGTTTGTACGTTTTTATTTTATTATTTTTACTTTTGTTTTATATTTATTTATTTTAAATTATTTTACTTTATATATAATTACTTCATAATTTTTTTACAACCAATTTATTTGAATTTCTTTTTAAATCCTCGCAGCGCATGCGCACGCGGTTTTTTTTTTGTTTTATTTTTATTTATTATTTTTCTTTTGCTTTATATTTATTTATTTTACATTATTTTATTTTATATATAATTACTTAATTTATTCACAATTAATTTATTTGAATTTCTTTTTAAATCAATATTTTCGCAGCGCACGCGCGTGCGGTCTCTCTTCCTCCTCTTTTTTCCCCTCTTTTCTTCCCTATTTTTCTGAAGATGGTCCCCCATCGATATCCCTCGCCTATCGATCTTTCTGCCGACCATAACAATTTGTACCTATTGATAAGCGATTATCGGGAAATTTTAAGAGCGCCTCTGCGCATTGCAAGTGAACAGGCAGGGCTTGCAGATTTAGAGTGGCCACAGTTTTCACAGGCAGAATTTAGAACAAAATAAAAAAGTAAGGTAGGTCACACTTTTTGGCGGCCGCTCAAAACAGTAATTTAATTATTAATTCGATGTACGTGTGCTGGTGTGAATAAATGCAGATTTGTGTTAGTTTTCTGTTCTCTATCCAACAACAGGTCACGCTGATATTTTTTCTTAGATATTAAAATAGATGTGAAGACAATAAATTGTGAATTGTGAATGTCAAGTCCAAAGTACAATATATTAATTTCTAAGTATAACGACATTGTTTCTTTAAAAAATCAGAAGTTTATGGCTTAAGATAATTTGGTCTGCACATTTCTTTGTTAAAAGTCCATATTGAGATGGACAGTGAAATAGGTGCGGGTTGCATAAAATTAAGAAAACTTTAATTTCTATATTGATTTTTTTGAAAATTATGTTAATTTACATTCAATGCAGCCGTACTATATACATGTTAAGTCCCTCAAAAATGAATACCAATACTGATAACTAACAGCATAGCGACAGTCTTGAATAAACTTTGGTTGAGTATACAACGCTGGTGGTACTTCGTTTTATTTGCTTATCCCTGACGCAGGGAAACTTTGCTCCAACAGGTTATAAGCCTAGAGAACGTGGCCTGATAAGATTGGTTAAAGTTTATTGACTAGATATACAGAGTTGCGGACTCGAATGTGTTAAAAGAAAAAATCGGAAGTTGCGTGTATGTAAATGTAAATTTACTGGAGTCTGATTTTGGCGCTAATATTAACTAGAGTGCGCTGGATCGTAAGGCATTGGCAACGATCACGCTAAGTGTTAAGGTATCGCAGATGGGATACATCAAGTTACATCTCATCGTCGCAGGAACCATGGACTAAGTTGCGCGAAGTCCATCAGCAAAGCGGGCCGGTGCGTAAAGTCTCGCTATACAAAAATTTGCCCAATTCACGCATGACGGAGAGGCAAAACATGGCTTGCTTTTTGATCACATTTAACGAAAGCGTGGATCAGCTTTCAGGAGTTGGAATAGCAATAGTTGACGAGCTCAAGGTCATTATTTTGCTTTCCAGTCTTCCAGACGTTAATGAGAATTTCATTGTCGCCATCGAGATGCGCGACAGTCTTCCAGCATTTGAAATTCTGTGTATAAAGTTGAAGGCAGATGGCACAGCAATGTGCGCAGGTATTTACAGTTAGACTGAGACATAGCGCAAGTGCGAAGGTCACTACAAAGATGAAACTGAAAAATGTTGCCTGTTACAATTGTGGTGAAATAGGGCGTTAAGGCGAATTGTCGCAAAGTAATTGCCAAAACACTCTGCAACAAAACGGTGTGGCAGAACTAGCTAATCATACACTTGTGGAGATGGCTTATTGGAACAGTCAGGATTGGAACTGTTGACGAGAGGATGTTGATGAGGTTGACTTCATCTCGCTCAGATGCTACTGATCGAAGTAGTGCGGAAGAAAATCGTCATGCGCTGGCTGATTATCGAAGTCGGTTGTTGCACTAAAACTGCCCAGACGGTGTTGTACGGAGACTACTTGAGTGCACAGCAATTGACAAGGAACTCTGTACATCGTGGTAGAACTAAGCACATAGATATAAGATATCATTTTGTTCGTGAAGCTGTAAATGGGGGTCACACTGTTTTGAAATATGTTCCTTCAAATGTCATGAAAGCAGACATTGTTCGTTGCACAAAGCGTTTTTTATGAGACTTCAAGTCTGGGCGGTATTTAAACTATTTTAATTAACAACTTTATTTTCTGACACAAAGGTGCGCTTATTGCTTGTTCTTGTTCTTATTACAACTTGGGCTTCGATAGTGAACTATCGATATTTACTAAAATTACAAGTAGTGTTTACATAAGTGAATAAGATCCACCAGAGTTATGCAAAGCAGCGATAAATTGAATGTTTGAATTAGTTGGACCAAACATCCCGGCCACCTTGAAAGGATCTGCTTTCAACACATCAAGCCTCCATCGGTAAGATGGCCAATTTGTGTACTGGTCGGCAGCAGATGCCATTGGCTATACGAAGATGAACAGCTCGAACATGACCATCCTTTCCAGGCACAAGTGCTTCGATGCGGCCGAGCTTCCATTGCTGAGGCGGAAGATTGTCGTCATGGTTCCAGTAGCGAGATTTGACGACGATGATGTCCATTTGGTTCGAGCCCGGGGTGTCCTGGGGTGATTACTGATAGATCGTTGGGATCAGGCGACATAGGTGACAATGGGCGAGAATTGAGGACAGCTTCGATCTCTGTTGTGATCGTACAGAACTCCTCAAATGTTATGCGAGTGTTCGATAGCGTCTTGCGCTCTTAACTGCTATTTCCCAGAGTCCGCCAAAGTGGGGTGCCCTGGGCGGAATAAAATGAAACGACACGAAATCCGAAGCACAGTATTCAGATATTGCGTCTTGAATAGATTGATCAAACAAAAATTGTTTCAAAGCCTTTAGCTCATTTGCTGCACCCACGAAGTTAGTTCCATTATCACAATATATGTCAGTGGGCAGCGCTCGCCGAGGAACCATTCGTTTGAGTGCAGCCAAGAATGTCTTCGTGGATAATTGACAGACCACTTCGATGTGCACCGCCTTGGATGCCAAACAAATGAATACGGCCAAGTAAGATTTTGTGGGACCCTTTCCTAGTATGCGAACATACGTATTTATTGGCTCACAGAAGTCGATACCACAGCGTTGGAATGGGTGTTCCGATTGAAGGCGCTCCACTGGCAGCGATCCCATAAGCTGCCTTTCCAATTTTGGCTTGTACCGAACACACGCCATGCAGGTGTGCACGATGCGACGTGCCAAGTCTCTGGCGTTTACGATTCAATATTCCAATCGAATGAGTGCCACGAAAGCTTTAAGTCCAGCATGGCAGTTGCGAAGATTCATATGAGTGATTTGAACAAAGCGCAGCATGTAAGCGACAGTGCGAACACAACGATTGTATGAGCTGATGTTCGCTAGTTTCTCCAGGACATGGTTACGATCCGTTGTGGCGACGAAAGTAGATTTACGTTGTTCGGCATTGATTACTTGCATATCAATGTTGCTGATGTTGCTTGATGTTGGCCAATGTTCATGATATTGGGTTAAAAAAGCTGGTCCTGAGAGCCATATGGATGATTGTAAATCAGAAGTGGTGGCATCTCGAGAAACAATGTCAGCAGGATTTGATGTCGTTGGTACAAATCTCCAACTCCAGAAACTCGATTTCCGACAAATGTTGATAACGTGTCTGAGTGTTATTTTAGCCAATGTAAAACAATTTGCGAATCCGACCAGAAATATACGGCATGTGGCTCTTCGCTGTGCTAACAAATGTGCTTCACATAATTCCAGTTTGGGAAGCGATTTCTTCTTTACTGGGGCCACTCTGGACTTGGCAGTGAGAAGATGAACACCAATGTTTCCGCAAGCAGATTCCGACCGCACGTAGATGCAACAACCGTACGCTCGAATCGAAGCGTCGCAGAACCCATGCAATTGAAATGAGCTTTGGTTGACCTGTTTGCAGTACCGGGGTACAGCAAGTGATGAAATGGTTTGGAATGATTCCAGGCACTTCTTCCAGGCCAGTTCAAGATGCTGTGGTACCGATTCGTCCCAAGTAAGCCCTGCAATCCAGAGCTCCTGTAGGATTATCTTTGCGACGATTATGAGTGGTGACACTAGTCCGAGAGGGTCGAACAACGCTGATGCAATTGACAGAATGAAATAGCAGCATATCGGTGTGTTGATTCCAGCTGACGCCAAGTGCGCTGGTCAGTCCGTTGTCACACGTATTTATATCCTTGATAGCGAAGTTTTCGATAAATTGGGCATGATTTGAATGCCACTTAGATAACGGAAAGTGACCACGATGAAGAATTTTCGTGACTTGGTCCTTGATTGTGCGAAGAGTTTCTATGTCCTCACCTCCAGATAACAGGTCATCTACATAGAACGACGATTCAATGACAGCACCGATTGGATACTCAGTTCGACACAGATTTGCCAAATAATGCAGGCTGCGTATGGTTAAGTATGGCGCCGAGGCTGTTCCATATGTAACCGTGTTGAGTTGATAAGTGCGAAGTGGTTCATCTGGAAGAGCTCGCCAGAGTATGTACTGGTATTTGCGATCATTTAAATCAACATTTACATCAACTGTTATGGCATAACGATGTAATCTGAAACGCAACAACAGCAAATATAAATCGTCTTGGAGAGTCGGGCCGACAAGTAAATGATCATTGAGCGAAGTTTGATTGGATGTTCAACACGAGACGTCGAAGACGGGCTTCAAAACGCAATGGTGAGGTATGTAGTAGTGAGGTTCCGATAAGTGTGGTTCTGTGACCAGCGACATGTATTCCAAATGTTCATACTCCTCCATGAATTGGCAATACTGCAAGCGAAGTCCCGAAGATTGTGCCAAACGGCGTTCCAAGCTGAGAAATCTGCGGCGTGCTATGTCGAATGAATGACCAAGTTGACTGGGATTGTTCTTAAACGGTAGCCTTACAACAATGCGACCACTGTCATTTGTAACAGTCGTTTTTAGGTAGTGTTCCTCACAAGCTCGATGTTCTGGTTTCAACAGCACATTTGAAGTTTCAATTGATTCAATTTCCCATAAGCGTTTAAGGTGATCGTCAATTGAAGTGGCACCAAGCTTAAAACTAGCAGCAATCTCTCGAGACTGTTGCGGATGACACTTTCCTGTCACTACCCAACAAAACAGCGTCTTTTGGAGCATGGGCCCAGTTATATCAAGTTTAACTTGGCCCACTGACAGAATGTCGAAGAATGCTTCTGTTCCTAAAAGCATGTCGATGTGTCGAGATTGGTAGAATTTCTCACCTGCCAGCACAATATTTTGTGGCATTTTCCATCTTGAAATGTCTATATTGATGTCCGGCTGATAGGCTATATGCGAGGTGACGCAAAGGTCTAACGAAACTTCAAAGGGCGACAAACGAGACCTTATTGATATAGTTGTAAGCGAAGTGATTTCTGTACGTGCATGGCCAATACTGCTGATTTGCACAACGTGTTTCTCTCTTTTTAGACGAAGCTTCTGAGCAAACGAATCGGTGACGAAATTCACCTGCGAATACGAGTCCAGTAGAGCACGGCCTAGTCTGTAGGTGCCAGTTGAATCTCTGACCAGGATCATAGCCGTTGCTAAAAGAACGTGAGATTGATAACGTTTTTTGATTTGCGAATGGTTGTGTGCTACTTCGGTGGCTGGGGAAGAGCTTGGTTGTGTTGTAGAACGTAGCTTCTTGTGTAACAAAGTGTGGTCCGATTTCTGATAATGGCGACAGCGATTTGTTGAAGGGCAATCGGCCATTTGATGACCCTTGGACAAGCAATTAAGACACAGTCGGTGACGTTTGACGACGTCAAAACGTTGCAGCGCATCCAATGCTTTAAATTGTTCGCAAGCCATCAATTTGTGAGTTGAACTTGAGCACAATGCACAAGCAGCGATAGCAAGTGCGAAAGACGAATTATGTCCTTTGCCAGGATTACGAAACTGTTTTGAATACGTTTGGTTAATTGTTGTACCTTTGGACAACAGGAATTGACAATGACGCTCCAGTACTTGTACGCACTGAGCTCAACTCGGGATTTTTGTATAATCCAGCGATAAATTCCATTTGTTTCTAGTTTCCTGATCGCATTTATCCAGAACCACATAGATTAACATGACTCGCGCTATGTCGATGCCAGAGCCCAAGGACGAAAGTGAACTAAATAATGCCGATGCATTATGAATTAACGACCGTAGCTGAGTAGCGTTTGATGAACTAGCTGAAGGCAACTGAAAAATAGACGATATTGTCTCTATTGGCTTGTCATACCGAGACTTTAATTTTCGAATGCCTTAGCGTAGTTTTCATTGGTGACTGGAAATGCCTTCACGCACTCCAGTGCAACACCCTTTAAGCAGCTGAGTAGATAGTTAAACTTCTCAATGTTTGTTATTTGCGCTCCTTTCACGATTTGATTAAACGAGCAAATGAAGTTTTATATTCCAGATGATTGCCATCGAATGTGGGCAAGGCCAAAAAAGGCAGACGTGATAGTTGAGGATGGTAAGCAACGTGTGATGTAGCGTCATCAGTGACTGTACTATTTAAGTCTTCACTAAGCAATTTCTTAATCGCCAACTTGATGTGTACATAGTTGTCTTCCAGTTCAGCGCACGCATTATCATTTGGATACAGAGTTTCTATTTCCGATTGAATAGCCAACAATTGCTTAAAATACGATTCCACTCCAGTGCAACACCCTTTAAGCAGCTGAGTAGATAGTTAAACTTCTCAATGTTTGTTATTTGCGCTCCTTTCACGATTTGATTAAACGAGCAAATGAAGTTTTATATTCCAGATGATTGCCATCGAATGTGGGCAAGGCCAAAAAAGGCAGACGTGATAGTTGAGGATGGTAAGCAACGTGTGATGTAGCGTCATCAGTGACTGTACTATTTAAGTCTTCACCAAGCAATTTCTTAATCGCCAACTTGATGTGTACATAGTTGTCTTCCAGTTCAGCGCACGCATTATCATTTGGATACAGAGTTTCTATTTCCGATTGAATAGCCAACGATTGCTTAAAATACGATTCCAAAATGCCTAAACGACATTGAAGATCCGCAGGTGATCTTTTAGAAGAATCTGCAGATTGTCCATCGACCAAAATTTTTTTTCGGGAAATGTTCCTTTTGGTGTTTGCGCGCTGGCGTCGGTAGTCTTCCAAGGAATGCGACATATTTACAGAACTTGGCGCGGAGCTTAAGTTCTGCTTGATGCGCCAAAAACGACGAAAATGATTGTTGTGTGTATGTGTGTATATGAACTACAACAGTATCGATCGCAGTTGCAGCTCTTACACAAACGAACGAAGAATGAATTTGGGATAAACCACTAAAGGCAGCGAATGAAGCGACGATTGCGAGCAGCGCACTGGCCGTTTTAGCAGTAGCGAAATATGCAATAAGAGCGGCGAACAAAGTAGACCATGAGCGAAAACGGCGCAGACAGCCAGCAAAACGAATATAGAGACACAATGCAATAACCGATGAACTTTGTGTTGGTTCTGGTTAACTATTTTCACATGCGACGAATTTGATGCTTTAATTGTTGCAACCAAGCAATTGGAAGCCAAGGCGAATTTGTTTAGTTTGTATATACGCGCACGCGGAATTTGTTAACGTAACGAAATGCGAAGTTGGGCGCCAAAATGTTCGTTGCACAAAGCGTTTTTTATGCAACCATGAGACTTCAAGTCTGGGCGGTATTTAAACTATTTTAATTAACAACTTTATTTTCTGACACAAAGGTGCGATTATTGCTTGTTCTCTTTATTATTACAATTTGGGCTAATTCGATAGTGAACTATCGATAATTACTAAAATTACAAGTAGTGTTTACATAAGTGAATAAGATCCACCAGAGTTATGCAAAGCATCGATAAATTGACACATTAACAGCTGATCACTCAATATCAGCTGTGTGTGAATTAGTTTGACCAAACAGACATGTTAACTAAAAACTTGTCTAAAGGGAAACATAATGAATTAAGAAATATATTAAATTTTAATTGACGTTTTGTAAGCATGTTTGCATTTTGGAAGGGTGTTGAAAATTATATTAATTTACATTCAATGCACGCTTCTAAGGATATCGGCAGAAGAAGTTGGGGGCAACCATATCCTAAGCCATAAAGATGTCCAACTGCTAGGGACGAAATTTCACAGTTCGTATGAGTAGTAAAAGGGAATGGACAACTCTGGATGAAGTCCATCCCATGAAACCGCACATCATAAAATGGTACACCGATGGATCACTCACGAATCAGGGCACCGGCCTTGGAGTGGTGGGTCCTCGGGTATTCTACCATGAATCCCTAGGAACGCACACCAGCATATTTCAGGCTGAGGTGTGTGCGATAGGGAGATGTGCGGACTTCAACATAGAACGTAACTATCGGAATGCGGATATATCCATCCTATCCGATAGTCAAGCAGCATTGAAAGCTATAATGGGGACTAAAATAACATCGAAGGTAGTCCATGAAGTTCGTTCAAAGCTAGACCTACTCGGGACTCAAAACAGGCTCACCCTACGATGGGTGCCGGGCCACAGGGACATAGCGGGAAACGAGGCGGCTGACAAGCAAGCAAGAATGAGGGCAGGAAGGCCCCTAACAGGACCAGAACCGTATTGTGGCATAGGGAGGCACACTATACGACTGGAACTTAGAAACGAGGAGAGGCAGAGACGGCAACAGAGCTGGTCGGAGACAGTAGGACTCCGACAAGCCAGATGTCTCCTAGGTGGTTATAATCTTGTACGATTTAAACAGATTGTAACCATGGGAGAGAACAGCCTTACGATACTTACCGGTCTATTGACAGGACACTGTAGACTAAGGAGTCACCTGACAAAATTGGGTATATACAGTAGCGATCTCTGCAGGTTGTGTGAAAGAGAGGAGGAATCCTCGATGCACATCCTAGCAGAATGTGTCGCCTTAACTAGAAGAAGATGCAGCATCTTAGTGGTGCATGTTTTGAATTTTAGAGACATAGAAGACCTCAACCCAACAAAGATAACGTGAGATATGGATACATATGGACATATGTGATTATTATTTAATTCTGGGCATATGTATTTGAATTCGTTTATGCCTGAATTAAATGTTTTCATATCGCGCCAGTATGGTTCCAATTCATAGTATTTTACCATGGTCCAATCGGATACTGCTCTCTTCGTTGTTCCAATTTTTTCATAATAGATTCCAGGCTTTGTGTTGAACCGTGTCACAGATACTGAGTTTGTCAGTACCAAGGGTAACATAAAGAGCAGGATTAACACAGACGAGGTTATGGTTGGCGACGTTCCACTGGTATTTCTGGCTTTCACTCGCACATATGTTCACACCGTGTATATACGCGCAGCCTCTCTTGTTTGATTTGCACAGCTTCGCGCAGTCGCGTATCTAATTCTCTGCCTCGCGTTTGGCTGGCCACCTTTTGCCGGGACTGTACCTCGGTGGCGTGATCTTTTGGTGGCGTGATTTTCTGGTACTTTTCCACTGCCTTTTTGCTGGCGCCAGCCATTGTCTGCCGTCAGTGTGAGTATGGACAGCAGTATTGCACCCGCAATACTCTTTCCACACTAACGGCACATGTCCTGATGGACATGTGCGTCAGACACGTTCAAATGGCTGAACACCTGCGTTAGAAAGGGAGAGGGCGAAAGAGAGCGAATTCGCCGCAACTGCATCAGGGCCGGATTTCGGTCTGAATGGAGAGTTGTTGTGAGGGCGCATATAACATGCTCACGGGCATTTTGCATGCCCATTCGTGAACATACATGTATATATATGTTTATAATCATCATAAACATACACATACATGCATGCTTACAAGTGCATGCTTCTATGGCTCCTCACAATTGCGAGCGCAGTCCAGTTCCATTTTACACAGCATGGTCGTTGCTGATCTGTATCGCTTGTAGCAGAATCGCAACATGTAAGACACAATGCGTTGTAACTTACGAAATGAGTTGCTGTGTCGACAGGTATACAACTCTTCGCCTATTGTTGCTTGAGCTGCAGCTAGGCATATATGCTTTGTTTTCCTTTCTAGGTTGCTAGGAGAGATGACGGGAGGAGCTATCCATTTGTCTGGAATGCCATGCAAAAAGAGTGATCCATAGAGCCATAGACTATGCTTGTGTAACTTTCGTGCGGATATTCCTCTTGAGAGCACATCTGCTGCGTTGTTGGCAGACGATACATGCCGCCAATTATTTTGACTTGTCACTGCCTGAATTTTCGCTATTCGGTTGGCCACAAACGTATGATATGTGGAAGACGGGGCATTGATCCATGAAAGAACAACGGTAGAATCCGACCAAAAGTATCCTGGCACTGTGATGGAGTCAAGGTTGAGATCGTCGAATTCTGTAGTGACTGTTTTGCGGTTGGAGCCACTCGAGACTTTGAGCATAGTAGACGCACAGATATTTGCTTGTTTTTGTACGTTGCGCGTACATATATTGCTGCGCCATATGCCTGTTCTGAAGCATCCACAAATGTGTGCAATTCCTTCGTAACTGGAGTATTTCCATCGTATATGTGCCTTGGAATTTGCATCGAGTTAAGGCTTT